GGAATTGAAGGTTGTGTCAAAAGTAAACAACACCTTCAGATGTCTAGCTTTGTTTTTTGTACCGAGCTTTATAATTTGTCAAGTCTGCAATATTATTGGTTTTTTGTTAGTTTTCACTTTTAACACTTTTATCAATGAGATATTTTTCTATATTTCACAGGCAAAACTCTAATAAATTATGTCTTTAATTAAAATAGTAGACGCCAACGTTGGAGTTATATTGTAAATATTTTTCACTGATACTTCTGTATTTTGTATCGTAAACTTACCACAGAATACAACTTAGGGATATAGAAATTCTGGCACGACATACGTTAAATAAAATGCTACCAAACTATTGAAATAGAAGGTTTAGATCTCGAGAGATAAATTTTCTAAAACATTGGTTGCAATTTACGTGCCATTGTTTTGTGTAACCAAAAAGTCCACAAACATTGCGCAAGCAACCCTTTCTAAACCTGCGAACCGACTTGAATGAAACATCGTAGAAAATTTAAGCCTGTTAGAGTGATTTCTATGAAGGACTATAATTGCTCTTTTTACTTTCGTTGATATTTAAATTTTGTCAACACTAAGAATTGAACCTCACAGGAAGCTTGTGACCAGTGAAAAATAAAAAATATTGTCCAATGATCACTTGCATGCATCATTTTAATTTTCATCGTATTTTTCACATTTTATTTTTGTCTTTTACATCTTAACCTTGCCTATTTCTATCATATCTGAAAGAAATAATCAATAGGTTTAGCTTTCTAATGGTGTCTTATCAAAATATCAAAGACATGTTTTTTCTAGTGGTCAAGAAAATTGACTTATTCGTTTGTTAATAACATACCATTACAAATGTTTCAAACACTCTTTCTACGTTTTCTTAACTCATACATATGTTTGAAGTTCGGATCAGACAAATATGTTTTGACAATTATTTCGATCAGTTATGACTTTTCTAAGATACCTCCTATATGTCATTTTACAGTACAGCTAACAGATCCTATATCGATCAGTTATGACTTTTCTAAGATACCTCCTATATGTCATTTTACAGTACAGCTAACAGATCCTATATCGATCAGTTATGACTTTTCTAAGATACCTCCTATATGTCACTTTACAGTACAGCTAACAGATCCTATATCGATCAGTTATGACTTTTCTAAGATACCTCCTATATGTCACTTTACAGTACAGCTAACAGATCCTATTTACATTTCTTAAGAAACTCATTTAATGCGACCGGAGAGGGGTTATTTTCGTCTAGCCCGTAGTTCCATAGTATAATCAATGATTGATTTTCCTTTCCTTAGGGTCAAGTTGGCAAATACCGATAATGGGTTTCTTGTTTATGTGATATTAATTATCATTTCAAGCTGTTGAATGGACTTTAGATAAGTCTACTTACAAATACCTACAACTTTCACTACAATATTTAGCTTCCCAAAACTATAATAATACAATCTCCCCTTAACATGCCCTTACTTAGAACCTCGTAATTTTCATGAACCTACAAATCATGGTGTTTTGAAAAGAATGCTTTCTACAGCTGTCACTAAGTGACTGTAGAATTATTAAAGTTAAACCCCCTTATTTGACAAAATTTTAATTATGGAAAATTGACACATCGAATAAATAAATTTGCTTAACAAATACATGACAACCTGCTTATACAGGAACTCGGTGACATTTACTCATCAGCAAATCTACATATAAAGTGTAAATTGTACTACAGATCATTCATGTTCTCACATTTTGTTGAGTAGATGTGTAAAAAAACACTCACCAAGGAAAATATTTTCAAAAAAGAACTGACTAAATTTTAGAAGAAAAAAAACTGTACACGCAAAAGACTTCTAACATAAAATAGTCACGAGTTTATTGAGCTACTAATACTTCCTATGCACGGGACACACATATAAACATACAGATAATCACTTACCTTTAACTCTTAGCATCATTAGATTGTGCGGGAAATAGAACGAACATCAGCTGTATGGTCTAGGAGACATATAAGTTTTTCAGAACAGAATGCAGATACGGTGAAGGCATATTTCCTGCCGCCAGTCCGTAACTTATAGAGCAATATATTGGGAATGCCATCAGAATTCAAGTCAAATATATTTGTGGTAAAATTATATGTCATATCATATTAACTGTTTGGTGTTAGTCTAGAAATACAAAACACCTAAGAATTAATTAAGTTTAAGAGCTCTGGTAAAATAAATTAGTCCTTCATGCATATACACAAATCTACAAACAATTCATTTAGATTGAGACATATACATCAACTTTCGCCGTCCACGAATGTAACGACCTGATTTCCACATTTATGTTGTGTGTTTCAGTCCATCCTTGTACTAAACAAAACCAATTCAACAAATAACAGATATCTCGATGGAAGTTGAACAATTTAATAAAGATAATGGATGATATATCTATCACCTTCACAACTATCATATATAGATGAGTTAGTAATTTGCTTTGACAGTCTAAAACACTAGTTGAATACTCTTTATGGAATACTGCAGAACTAGAGCAATAAAGAGAGATAACACTGTCATTTTTACCATCTCTGACTCCGTAGATAGTTGCTCGATAACATTTTTTTCGAAGTTCTGTCGTTACTTGCTCACAACGGCTTAGTGATTAAGGACCATGACTAAACGAATGAACGATTCTTTCATGCTAGTGACGAATAAGAGCATTTTTATATCCCGCCTGGCGGGAAATTTATCGGGCATCAATAGTTCCAATGCGGAGACTACTTGGCAAATTTCTCTTTGACAGAATGTCAAATAATATTACACAAATACATCGAATCAATTATCTTTCATGCGTGGCGAATGAAAACTATTAAGTCGCTATGATATGAAAAACATAACGTTGGAATCGTGTTAATCAGTGAACAGGTAAATACACGTATTAAATTCGGAGTAGCACCTGACATATATAGGCGAGCATAGTAAAACATGTTTCAAAACAAATACATATATGTACGTTTTCATGATAACCCAAAGCGTCATACAAACCATCGACAAACATCCACACGTCTTTTTTGTTTTAAGGACGATAATTAACATACAGATAAACTTATATTGTCAAGATAATTATTAAGACGAATTTCTAAAGAAGCTAATTCACTTTCAAGAGGAAATTCGACATTTCCCATTCAAGTTGCTGGTGTATCACGAATCAGTTATGGAACTTACGATACCATTCCTCAGAAATTATTGCTTTTTACCTGGCATTTAAAAAGATAATTAAATTGTATCTAATGTTTCATAATATAAATACTATTGTTTTATCATTATTGACCATATTCAGTGGAACTACACGGTAAAATTCGGTGAAGGATAGCTGGCAGCTAAAACAACAGCATGTTAGATACTCGTGAAAAAGAGTTTAGAAGTAAGGATAGGCTGGAAGGTTATCAGTTGATTTAAATCTGATGCGAGTAAATCATATATCAGTTTTTTGCCTTTGTTTATCTGATCAATTGTATATTAACTTATTTGTCTCCCTTTTGCCGTTGTGCATATGCTACAATTCAATGTTAAACACAAGCAGATAAAGTCTATTCGATTTCATTGTCAACTTTGATCAACTTTGATGGATTTTGTTCTTCACATATTAGTTTCTTCACACATCAAACAAGGCTGCCGGATGCATTGATATCACCAAATATAATACATAGACACCATGTGTAAAGGTCGGAAACAGTATATGAAGATATACACATGTGCATAATGGAACAAAGTGACAGTACAATTGTAATACTTTACTCTTTAAAATTCCTTCTTTGTGATGAGAAGTGGAAGCGTTAATTATTGTTTTGTATGCCCCACATAATAGTAAGTTGTGGACAATTTAGCGTTTGATGATATTGTGATTGAGAATTCGACGTGTTTTAAATAGCACAACAAATACAACAAATTTTCTGTGATCAGCCTTTCACAGTAGATTTGCTTAAACGTTTACGGAGAACAGGCTGTGAACTTCCGTCCTATAGATAGGTTAAAAAAATAATCTAGAACTACAAATTAACCCTTAAAGCGAGCATGTAGAATGGAAAAATAACTATAAGATTAAAAAAACTTAATTAATGTAATACATAAAGTCATTGATAATCCGAAACTCATTCTGCTTAAACGTGTAAAGAAAGTTGAAAAATTGAATTTGGTTTCATGTAAGTAAAATCCACACAAGAGCATGCTAATCGAGAAAACGTGTTCATAAGTAGCTAATCCAGTCAATAGCACGGATTTTCATCGCTAATAAAACCAAGTCTATTGTATTTAATGTGGCGTCACATATATTGATATATAGACGAATGTCTTTAGTTTGAGAAAAAAACTCACATAATAGCTCTTTGATGACTCAAAGATCTGAAAGCATCTCAATAGAGATCACATAACATTGATCACTTTGCGTTCGTTCTAATATCTTCATATTTGAAACATTAATACATACTGATTGAAGTCAACATCAGATGTTTAGCTTCTTTGCGCTGAAGTGTTGTTAAAGAACTATTTATTCATCGTACCCTGACTTCTGTTTGTGGATATTCTACAAAAGAAATATACCATTCGCCGCCATTCATATATTCTTGTTATTAAATTGCCAGTTTTTCATCATCAAAGCAGTCACTTTCTCTTCCCTACTTCTGGATGGTATCGTAGATGTTTCTTACATTATCAACTTTTGACAAATCTAATCCTTCATAGTTGCGACGGTCATCGGTGATATCTTCAAAAAGTAAAGAAAATATGAACATATTACATGTTAAGTCTTCTTTTATAATGGGATGTTTGAGTTCCCGGCGTTCTGTTTCCCGTTATAAGTCCATATCTCGTTTATTATGCAAAAATATCGATGTGTGGCAGGATATCGGGCTTTTTAAGCATATATACATCACTTGTATCAAATTATTAAAAAATGGGATTGTCATCAAGAAGATCGACCCCTTGACCAAGGAATGTGACAGGAAAATCGGATGACTGGATATTATTAATACAGACGTTTAAGTAGGCCTACCCAGATGCTAATGATTGTTGTGGACAAATATCAATTTTGGTATTGTTTACAAAAGTCTGCAAGATTCATATGAGTGTAAGCTGATATACAGGTCACCTGACTAGTCTCTTCTAGCGAGTCAAGCGGTACTAAGTACATGCACTGACTTAAAAAAATGTAGATATTGTTTAGATCGAAGTCCGTGGTATTAATATAATTGTCCGCCTGAAGAGCTAAGGGATGGTCGTTAGATCTCAAGCAGTGTTAGAACCTTTTCATTACTTTTGTACCTACTAGTGTATGACAAGAAACCGCGACTGAAGCAGATCTGACACTTGCATCTGATAAAATGAAAATAAGACCCGTGTCTTTAAATATCTAGCTAGGTCGTGATGATTATACCAATATGGTTTATATCTTTTTCAATCATACAATACTCCTAAAGTCTCAATGAATCATAATATTTCACAACAATTGCGAAACAAGTCGTTTTCTAACTTGTTTATCACTCTTGTTGGCCCAGATGAATGGATAAAAAATCTGATTGCCATTCTATCAGTCTTCCATTTGCCAAGTGCACCTCGCGATGCTAATCTGAGTTTTTTCACGTAACGATTCGCCATTGTTTTATTTGTGTTACAAGCGACGCCACGACTTACAGCGTTCGCATAGCTTACACACTAGCGCCCCTCTGTGGTTAGTTCCATGGGTGAGCCCCAATGTATATTCTATCTACATCATATACAATGTATATAATGATATCAACTATAGACTTGAGCATGTTCCAGCATTATCAACGCTCGTCTTTGAACCTTAAGATATCATCGCTATGTTTTATAAAACAATGATTAATGACTGATGCTGTGTTTTAACTCACTTTTCGTCTGCATCTCAAAGACTGTCGACGGGATCGAAGGTGTTTTAATCTTCTTTCTGAAATACATTAATCCAGCTAGTGTTGAATCATCTGCCTATCAATGAATTCAGAATAGGTATCGTTACCTAAATTTAACTAATATACTCACGTATAAATATTGTGATATTATCAACCTTTACTCAAAAATATATATTCAGTCTTTAACGTTTGAATTACAGAGTATGCAACTGTTTAGTTTGACATGCTTACGATTGTCTGAAACAAAACACAACGAAACCGATATTACAGCTAACGGAAATGGCCAGAAAAGTGCCTAGAAGTGCGTAACCAATTACAACTCTGGTATTCTGAAATCTATTCATTGTACCTTATTATTGCAGTTTTACATTTAGGGGGTCATACTTAACTAAAGTAAGATAATCAAAATGCAAATGTACATACATTCAAATAATACATATAATCTTCATTTTAAAATGTGGTTTTGACCTTATCAGTGAACAATTTAAACTAAAACTGAACGTGATGTGCTTACTATTCCGTTATCTCCAAGTCCATTTTCCACCCGTTTGTTGTTAGATGTGACGTTTTCTAGTTAAAAGACAAAATAAGACCGGTTTATTCAACTATAAAACAATTATATACATACTTATTTTAAAAAATAAATAAATGTATTTTTTACTTTATAAAGATTACTTTTGATACATGACGTTCCTATCCATCCATCTGCCCATCCGGGAGTTTCACATTTCCCGAAGATATAAAAATACCCACCTTTGGCATAGTGACATTCCAACTGACATCCAAGACCTAAGTGAGTGGAGTTACCAGCTGCAAAAAAATCGAAATTTAAAAAAAAAGACAGAAAAGAATTAAATGTATATTCAGACGATATTATGTACATTACAATGTTTCTAAATGGTCTTTTTAGTCATATACACAGAAAGGACCAATCTGATGATTTCATTTCAACTCAAGTGATCGAGTTTTGTGTTATGTTATTCACATAATTATTAACAGATATTTAATGCATAATTACGAAATTTATGATTGTGAAGTGTAAGATTTATCTAATTTATGTTTAATAACTCTGAGTTTCAGTGGTATTTAGCTGAATCACTGTTTAGTGAATGTGATGTTATAAAAATATATATTTCTGCTGTATTATGGAACGCGCATCTTTAAAGTTCTGCAAGAGTTATCGGACTTGTTGTGATTTCCAGTTTGTTTACATGTGTTTTTCAGTACAGCTAGGAGCTGTTTTACTCAATTATCTTCATGTGTCATTTAGATCTAGTGCTAACCATTGAGTAAGTACCATGTAAGATGTATGTACATAACAGTAATTTAGTGCATTAACTGTGTCAAAGTCGATAATCTTACCTAGAACTGGGATTTACTCGAAGCGTGATTTGTAAACCGGAACACGTGTTTGCTTGGTAGGCCTTCTAATGCATTGAGATTACTAAAAGTTTGAGACACCACAGTAAGAAATCAACGACCTGCATGGAAATGACGTCATCAGTCACAGGCTCCCGTCCCCGGACAAAAAGCACCAAAGGTATGGAACAATTTGAGCATGCTGTTCTTAAATACCATAGAAACATGTCAAACAAACGAAAAAATCTAGAATCAGTATTATCTGCGTTGTTTAACGCAGCCACCAGCCCACTGGCCGACATCAGCAACATTAAGGATGACTTCTCCAGCACCTTCGCAGATTATAAAAAGATCTCGACAGAGTTCATGTCCTTCCTGTCCAGAAACCCATGTAATCAGAGTAGCAGGGAATACTCATCACAGTTACTTATTCTAAATGTTTTGACAGACAAGTACCAAAGAGCCTTATCAATGATCAACGCTGAATTAGCAGAAAGTAAACCAACTTTATCAGCACAAGGGTCTGTTAACACAAATGTGCCATCAAAGCATAAGTCTATGAAATCAACACAGGGATTTGTGAACACACATGTATCATCAAAACATAGGTCAAGGACATCAGCCTCATCTACAAGGTCCATGGTTAAACAACAGAGGGCTGACACCGAGATTAAGAGGGAGCGACTAAAGCTCGCAGAGGAAGAGGCTTCAATTAAAAAACAACAAGCTGTGCTCCAAGCGGAACTTGATGTATTGGCGGTAAAAAGGGAAGTTAAGGAAGCTGAGGCCAAGCTTATAACTATGCTAGAACAACAAAGTGACAGTGATGACAGCAGTTTGTCGTATGAGTTAGGAGAAAGGTCAAGTAGAGTGACACGATTTGTGGAGGAACAGAACTTGAGGCTTAATCTCTCCTCAGAACCTGAAGTAAGTAAGTTTGTCAGAGGGAGTAGCGTGTCGTCTCATAAGGGATCTGAGTCATGTATCGATGAAGCATCAGGGTGTTGTAGCCATATACCTTTAACTCAGGTTAGGTTTGACTGTTCACCCACTTTGTTACAATCCTCCCAAGGATACTTCATTTTGAGTCACCTACATGTACCTCCAATGCCAATACGTTGCCTGGAAACCCCGAACCACGTACGCTACAGCCTTCAAAACAAAGTAAACAAATGTCGTCCACTCCGGGTCCATTGCCATTGTTAGACATATCATCAGTCACTTCAACCAACAATATATCATATGCAATTACCTCACCAACGACAAATGCCTTGAACCCGGATGCGCAAGAATTTCACCCATCACCTACAAAGCACCTCTTGAAAAAGGATTTACTCCTCTCTAGACTCACTAAGTTCACAGACTGCCCAGAGACCTATGCTGTATGGAAATCTAGTTTCAGAGGTATCATAACAGAGCTTGGAGCTTCTGCTACAGAGGAAATGGACCTCCTGGTAAAATGACTAGGTGCAGATTTCAGCAGGCAAACCCTGAACATAAGATCTGCATACCCTGAGGACCCAAAGGTAGGGGTGGCAAGAATCTGGGAAAGATTAGAGGATCGTTATGCTGGTCCAGAGATGGTGGAGGCTTGTCTGAAAGCCCGTGTCGCTGCTTTCCCCAATATTTCAAACAAAGACAGTAGTCGATTGTTTGAACTTGTTGACCTTGTATCCGAGATTGCTGCTAGGAAAGCAGGAGTAAACCCTATAGTGGCCAAGATACCTGTTAGTATACAGCAAAGGTGGACTACACATGGCATCAAGTACAAGAAAAACCATGGTGCGTCATACCCTCCTTTCACTGTTTTCATAGAATTCCTGCCTGCGCGACATTGCAAGGGCGAGAAATGACCCTGGGTTCAAATATGACCAGCCAGATGCGTCTACCACAATGTCAAAACCTGTCAAAACAGGAAACAGACCTCCCAAGGTTTTGGTATCTGCAAGAAAAACTGAGGTGGAAAAACCATCAGAGCTTGCCCTGTCCTGTCCTTTACATAAGACAAAACACACGCTCAACAAATGTAGAGGTTTCAGATCGAAGCCTATAGAGGAAAGGAAGAAGTTTCTTCGTGAGAACTCTCTCTGCTTTAGGTGCTGTGGCACTGGAAAACATTTGGCCAAGGATTGTGATGTATCCATAAAATGTGAAATTTGCAACAGTAACCGACATCCGTCAGCTCTACACATTACAACTCCTCTTAGCAAGTCATCAGTTCCAGATAAAGAACAGGCTAAAACAACTCCTACAAACCCTGTTAATTCAACATGTACACAGGTGTGCAAGAATCCCTTGGGCATGAGTAAATCCTGCGCGAAGACTGTCCTTGCGAAAGTGTACCCTACTGGCCAGCCAGACCAAGCTCTCAGACTCTATGCCATCATTGATGATCAGAGTAACCAAACGCTTGCTAGGACTAGTTTCTTTGACTACTTTGGCGAAGAAGGCAACCACACCGAGTATACGCTATCCTCATGTTCAGGCTACATTTCAGCTTCAGGAAGAAAAGCAAGAGGATATGTTGTTGAGTCTCTTGATGGCACAACGGCTATTGATCTACCAGATTTGATTGAGTGTGACATGATACCAGATGCCCGGGATGAGATACCGACTCCGGAGGCTGCCTTTCATCACCCCCATTTACGTGAGATAGCAGATTACCTTCCGGCATTAGATCCTAAAGCCGATATTATGATGATCATAGGGCGAGACCTTCCCACTGCACACCATGTGGAAGACCAGAAGATTGGTCCACCTGATGGGCCTTATGGGCAAAGACTCAAACTTGGATGGGTAATTATTGGTGAAGTCTGTCTTGGAAGTGTTCATCAGACACCTTTCGTCACTAGCAACAAGACTTACACCCTGAGAAATGGACGTCCTTCCTTGATGGAGCCCTGTCCTAATTGCTTTGAGGTAAAGGCGGATAGCCCAGAGCCCTGTTTCCCTGTCTACCTCAAAGGACCAAACGATGATGTGCCAGGCTTCTCAGTGGAGGACAAGGAGTTTCTTCATATAATGGATTCCTGCATGAAAAAGAATTCAGAGGGAAACTGGTCAGCGCCCCTTCCATTCAAGCCAGATCAACCTAGACTTCCTGACAACAGATCTCAGGCCTTACAAAGAGCAATGTCCTTGGACAGGAGTCTACACAGAGACGCTGTAAAGCGTGCTCACATGACTGAGTTTATGGCCAAGATATTGAACAAAGGGCATGCCGAAGTCGCTCCTCCTCTGAAGGATGGTGAAGAACGTTGGTACCTTCCTCTCTTCGGCATATACCACCCCAAAAAGCCTGATAAGATAAGAGCAGTATTTGACTCATCTGCTCGATGTAATGGCATCTCGCTCACCAGCGTACTTATGACAGGGCCAGACTTAGTCAACAGTTTACTTGGTGTACTTTTGAGGTTCCACACCCAGCCTGTAGCCATTACAGGTGACGTCGAGCAGATGTTCTACTGTTTCAAGGTGGATAAATCACATCGGAATTTTCTCCGGTTCTTCTGGCATGAAGACAATAACACGTTAAAACAGCTTATCGAATACCGTATGACAGCACATGTCTTTGGGAATTCGCCATCACCTGCAGTGGCCACTTATGGTCTCAGAAAAGCTGTCGAGGGAGCGGATGCTGATGTGAAGGAATTTGTTCATCGTAACTTCTATGTCGATGATGGTCTGACGTCGACTTATGACGCCGATACAGCTGTGTCCTTGATGAAACGCACTCAGCATACATTACGAACAAATGGTAATATAAGACTTCACAAGGTCGCATCCAACAGGAGAGATGTGCTTGAGGCTTTCGGTCCAGACGAGCTTGCGGGAGATATCAAGAACTTGAACATGAGCGTCGACTCCCAACCTGTACAGAGAAGTCTAGGTCTCTCCTGGAACCTAGCAGGGGACTTCTTTACATTCAACTCACATCTTGAGGATAAGCCATATACCCGACGTGGGATCTTAGCAACGATAAACGGTCTATATGATCCACTCGGCTTTGCAGCTCCTGTTGTCCTCAAAGGGAAGCTGCTCTTTAGGGATCTCATTTCATCAACATTGGGTTGGGACGATCCGCTTCCTGAAGACAGTCGACGTGACTGGGAGTTGTGGAAAAGGTCCCTGAAGGAGTTAAACTACTGTAAGGTCCGTAGGTCATACTGTGAGTTACGACTTCATCAAGGAATGAAACAATGTCTGCACGTATTTTTCGATGCGTCCAAGGACGCCATTGCAGCAGTAGCGTATTTTAAGATCACGGAAGACGATGGAAACTCTCACGTCTGCTTTGTTCTAGGAAAGGCCAAAGTAGCCCCTCATCATGGGCATACTATTCCACGATTAGAACTTTGTTCCGCTGTCCTTGCTACAGAGCTTGGACAGATCATCGCTGATCAATTAGATGTCAACCCAGCAGATATCCGTTACCACTCTGATAGCAATGTCGTCCTCGGCTACAGAGGGGAGCGCGGGAACTGGAAAACTTTCGAATCTGGAGAGAGCAAAACGAGTCATACTTAGAGAGACCCAGAAAGAGGCTTTCCCAAAGGAAATCCAGAGCCTACAAAATTCAAAACCTATTCCTTAAGACAGTCACATTTCTTCACTTTCACCTTACTTGGACGAGGAAGGGATTTTGAGGGTAGGAGGTCGACTGGATACAATTCATTGGAGAAGAACCCAGTTAATCTTCCTGGCAAACACCATACAGCGAAGTTGATCGTTCTTCACTTCCATGCCAAGGTTCATCACCAAGGTCGACACTTCACTGCAGGCGCTGTCCGCTCCGCCGGTTTCTGGATCACCGGGTCCAAGAGGCTAATCTCATCTCTCATCCATAAGTGCGTTCGTTGTCGTCGTTTACGTGGAAAGACCGCTGTTCAGCTCATGGCTGATCTGCCAGCAGATCGCCTCACTCCTTCGCCCCCATTTACATATGTTGGAGTGGACATTTTTGGACCATGGTATATCTCCTTTCGTCGAACCAGAGGATCCCATTCCCAGCAGAAAAGATGGGCTGCGCTATTTACGTGCCTAGTCATACGGGCGGTACATATCGAGGTCATTGAAGATATGTCGTCATCCTCGTTTATCAATGCCCTTCGCAGGTTTTATTCGATTCGTGGACCTGTCAGTGTTTTTCGGTCGGACAGGGGGACAAATTTCGTCGGATCCACCGATGCTCTCGGAATCCAAGCTATCAACGTCGAAGACATGGAGATGTCTAATCATCTTGTCAACATCGGCACTGTTTGGCGGTTCAACCCACCTCATGCTTCACATATGGGTGGCATCTGGGAGAGGATGATCGGTACTACGCGCAGAATACTTGACTCCATGTTACTCGACGTGAAAGGAAAGGAGCTCACACACGAGGTACTGACAACACTCATGGCAGAGGTCACAGCTATCATAAACTCTAGACCCATTGTCGCTGTTTCAGCGGATCCAGAGGATCCACATGTACTCTCACCTTCCGTGTTGTTGACACAAAAATCGCCAGAATTACCCACATGTCAACTCACGGATGTCAATTTGAAGGATCCTTACAGGATCCAATGGAAACAGGTTCAAAATCTTGCCAACAACTTCTGGGATAGGTGGGAAAAAGAGTACCTTGTCGGTTTACAGGTGAGGCCTAAATGGCGTCAGGGACTTCCGAACTTCCAAATGGGGGACATAGCATTGATGGATGATCAGAACCCTCGTGTTGAGTGGCCTCTGGCTTTGGTGCAAAGAACATTTCTAAGTGATGACGGCAAGGTTCGGAAAGTCGAAGTAGCCGTGTGCCGTGATGGTGTAAGAACGACCTACATAAGGCCAATTACCCAGTTGGTACCACTAATTTCCACAGAGTGAGGTGTTCATTGATCTCTCAACATGGATTGTGCAAGATAAGTGATACGTGCAAGCAACATTTGAATTTTTTTGTAGTTGTGTTTATCGAAAGACACGTTCATCATATTTGTGTAGTAATAGATGCAATTGTATGACAATATATTAGTGACGTGTTTCACACGCCAGGAGGGGAGTGTGATGTTATAAAAATATATATTTTCTGCTGTATTATGGAACGCGCATCTTTAAAGTTCTGCAAGAGTTATCGGACTTGTTGTGATTTCCAGTTTGTTTACATGTGTTTTTCAGTACAGCTGGGAGCTGTTTTACTCAATTATCTTCATGTGTCATTTAGATCCAGTGCTAACCATTGAGTAAGTACCATGTAAGATGTATGTACATACCAGTAATTTAGTGCATTAACTGTGTCAAAGTCGATAATCTTACCTAGAACTGGGATTTATTCGAAGCGTGATTTGTAAACCGGAACACGTGTTTGCTTGGTAGGCCTTCTAATGCATTGAGATTTCTGTTATAAATCGAACATTTTATTAAAATCAGTTTCTTACCCTCTCCGGAGGTTCTGTGTGTGATATTGCTGTCCTCCCCGGAGGTTCTGTGCATTATTTCCGAATAAAAGTTTGAGACACCACAGTGAAAGTTTTGTAAGTAACTTAGTAAGAGTTATCTCCCTTGGACCACTATTTAGAGTTTGGTCCATGTAGTTTGTATTTGTAGTATAGAGTTATTGTTCTTGTCTTTTTATTAGAACTCTTCTGTGTAGAAGATAGTTAAGTGTTTAATGTTGTGTTTATTAGGAAAATCGTGGCGCTAGTTGTAAATCGTAGTCGCGCATCGCAGTCGTATACTTGTTGATTAATTGAACGATCTAAATGGCCAAAATGTTTGTGTTGAACCAAAGTGTAAGTGTAGTTTCGTTAGGTTGTAGCATTTTTTTATTGCTGTATTATCGTAAGTTAAGTGCATGAAGTGGTTATTTTTCCATACTTGAGCTCGTTATCGTTATAGTTTATTCGTAGCGCTAGGTAAACCCGTTGATTGATTGAGTCACTGTGCTTTCGTTATTTGTCATTTTGTGTATTCGCGACTTAGTGTTTGTTTTGTTGTAGTTCCTTACGTTTATCAGTAAATTAACACATGCAAAGACGACTGGTCTTATTTGTTTACACGCACAGTTACATTTTGCACGTAGATAGTTTTCTCACATGCCGTAACAATGACCACGCTTTGAAATGCTTTGAGAGAAAATACCCTTTTTTCAATATGAAAAAAATTTAGATAATTCATCAATAAGTTATTCAAGATCATATACACTCTTCACTAATTTATAAGTTTTCATTGTATTATACAGTACAAACACAAAAATAATGTTTGATTTGGTCACATCCTAAGCGTGTCATATGATATTGTCAAAAGCCCCATTCTGGAATTACTAACCACTGATAGAAGAGGAATCTGACGTAGCCAATGCCAATATGAACAGAATGCTGACATTAAAGCTTACAGTATTAGTGTTTAGGAATGTTTTAATTTAATGGCAGAAGGTGTTGCCGACCCGGCCGTAGCAATCACGGTACTGGTTTGCGGAGCGTAAGCCTAAAGGCAGGCACGCATTACGTTACGGCGATGTGTCAAAGCTTGGCTCAACAATGATATCTCGACAATGGCTGGTGTTGGAACTGTCCAATAATGACTTATATGACTTAATGGAGGTGCCAAGCGATAGGTACTCACAAACGTATCGTAATAACAAAATCCGACTGACAGCTCCATTTCGCACGAAATCTGCATCGAATATATTTAAGCTTAAATAAGAGAATGGACGAGTAGCAGATACCTGTTGTGACGATGATTTCGTCAGGGATGTCAGTGTTATTTTCAGATCACGAGTTGTTTAACTGTTTTTTAACTGGCATTTTCATGAGCGTATAAAACAACTGTTTTGCTTGCGAACACATGTACAGTAGAATTAACAGTAATGTTGCAGAGCGATAAACCATTGTATCTTTTCACTCGGAATAAAAGCAGACAGTCGACTTTCTCCACCAGGAAATGTAGTGATTAGATTATAGCTAAACCAATCGGAAATGAAATCATATACCTTCTGATTTCTACCGACACCAGAACACTGTTATTGATGAATCAACTAAAACACGTGCGATCGATGCTAATCAGCATACAGGTCAAATAATGATATAATGTATTTAGAAAATATAATATTATAATAGTTCAATAATCATATAAAAGGTTATATGTAATATTCGATAAATGGAGTATTTTTGAAGGAGAAAAATGTTTTCTGATCATTTTATCAAAATGAAGTTCCTTTGATATCGATATTTGTTATATATTTCAATTCAAGAATCGATATTATGTTGATCATGCTTATTTATCAAAGACAGTAGATTACTCACCAATCTGTACACACGTGTTTGATGGATTATTTTGAGATTGAACAATACACACAGAATATTTGTACATTATTTCTTTTCAATCATTATTTAATCTAATTATATGATTCTAGCAAAAGATGCTACATATATTCACTTCAAGTTACCACATATGTAAACACATCACGTCTGATTCATTTTGCATTAATTACAAGCTAAGTTTGTAGATTGATACATACGTAAGAAAAAAAATAACATCGACGAAAGTAGTGTGTGTAAAAAAAGTGCAGAAAAATGTATATCCCTCCCAGGAAAGAGCACATTGAGAACTTTTGCACTGATTCCAAACAACATCCGACATGTCACTATTCATCAATCCAAGAAAATATTGCCATGTCCTCGATGCAGAATGTGCATTTCAATTAAACCACTCGGAATACTAAAATGGTAAAACATCAAGTAAGCAGAAATCATAATATTTGCCAAATATTTTTTTCATATTCTTCATCTTTCAAAATTCTGCATTGTTAACTTCCAGAAACCGAGACCTTGTTAAGATTTATTCAAAAACAACAGAGATATCACCGACATGGCAACATAATCTTAATTCAAACTCCAATTCGATCAAACTAGGACAAAATTTTATCACAAGAAACATTTACATGAACAAGACAGGGAATTTCGAAGCCGAAGCGTACGAGTCTTCTCCTTGATCTTACTCACTTCATGGTCCCCGATGATGTAATTTTGACCATCGTAAAAACTCTTCATCAACCTGCATCTCTCGAAGCATTTCACTTCTTCCTTAAATAATATCACAATTAGACTGTCGTAATGCTTTGACAATACTGACTTAAGATAGTGCTTAATCGCTGAGATAAAGAAATGGGGAGGAATAGACAAGCTGCAATAAAGCGTTTCCGATACGGATTCCTAAGTATATTGGAATCAAATATTAATTAGCAAAGATTTCTTTTCCTTATCATAAACTGGTAGTAACATGATAAGCTGGTGTTTCGTTTTTGGAAAGACTGAATAATGTGTATGTAGTGCTTTCTGAGTAACTGGGTATAGGATTTTCTTTTTGAAAGCATTGATTGTATAAGTTATTTTCAATAAAATCGTTGACCGTGGTCCTAACATTGGCTAATATATTCGAATTCTTTATAATCTTCATTAAACATTTTTTTAAAATCCTTTGTTCTTAGTTTATACGTCAGCTCCCAAAATCTTGTTGTCAAGATTTCTTTAAAAAAAACAAAGAAAATACCG